AATGGAGGGCTGATCGTTTCGATGTAAACGCGGCGTTTGAATCCAGGGCCTGATTGAATGGATTTTCTTTGGGCTCGTACCTCGAATCGTTCGAGAGAGAGAGTTGATAATACGGTAATGGTATTACAATTTGTAATGTGATATTAAAATGGCATTAATGTACCGTGACTGCTGCGCCGAGGGTGGCCAGCGATGATGGAATTAATATTTTAATGTTTGAATTAAATAATCATATTCGTAGAAAATTCGGGGGTGGTAATTATGTAATAAATAATAAGTATATTAAATTATTCTTTTGATAAAAAGAGTTCTCGTACGTACGTATTCTTTTATTTTATAACACCGTTTTGTTAACAGAATTTATTCTGTTAATCTGTTTTCATCTTTTTTTTAAATGCGTCTTTGTTCTTTTTTTTTTGTAGGATATGGTATTTATGGTTTTTTTTATATTTGATATTCCACGGTTTCATTATTCATCGTTAGTTAAAAATAATTCTTTTCTAAAAAGTTAATAAAAGACTTCTCGGAAAATATTCATCGAATCAATGAAACGATTCTAGAATAGAAGTTACTGAAAGTAAGTTTCAAAGACCTGTGCTACAATATTACCGAGATCTATAATTGAGACAGAATTCGTATACGGATTAATTTCAAAAAAGTTTTCATAAAATTATACGATTTATTATCCGATTTTTATAAAATGAAGAATTCTTCTTATTCGTTTTTGAATATTTATATAAAATAAATCTCGGACAAAGAGAGATGGATTACTCCCATAATTTACAAAATGGTTGAAAAATATATTAAAATTTACGAATAATAAATCTCAAGTTACAAAAGAAATTCCTATAAAATATTCATATTTATTTTTAATTTACAATTATCTATTTTATTTAACGGTATCAAAAACAAAAAAATAAAAAATCGAATAAATATTCATTAATTTAATTAAACTCGCACCATCAATTTTATTTCCCAATATTTCATCCAATTCTATCTTCGAATGTAAATATTCAATAATTCCCGCATAATTTCCACGGCCACCTCATTTTATAAGTATTTATCGCTTTCAATCGCTCGTATATTATGCTATAATCAAATTAAAAGCGTTCTACTAACAAAATCCCGATTAAAAGCTACGGCTCGATTAAGCATCCTCGACGTTTACTAGTCGCCATTATTTTCCAACGCTTACATCGATAACTTCGCAAAGTTCAAACACGGAATACGTTGCCACTGCAAGGCTTCCACAATTTCGGTGCTTCTCTAGCTTCCGTATTCGCTATGCTTCGCTTAACCCCCGGATTCCCAACCTGTGGGTAGCAAAAAATGTTTGCTGGAAGGGAGGGGAGGGTTGCAATATATTTGATCGATTTTATAAGAAATTTCGTAAAGATTTTTTCAAAATTTATTTATTTGCGTCGTACGATATTCTATAATCAATATATATATTCATTTATTATTTCCGTATTATTTTTACGAATGGAAGAAATTTGGCTATCAAGAAAAAACGTAGTCGCAAATTCGTAGATGATTGGCAAACACTGAGTTAAAAACGTTTAAGCACAGGTCCTCGATGCGAAACTCAAATCGTCCGATTGTTAAAAAGCTACCTTAGTATGGTGAAGAAGAGAGAAAAAAAAAAAAAAAAAAAAAAGAGGTAGAAAGCTCGTCTCGGACAAAATCTGCACGTTCAATTCCAGCAAATTTCGCGTACGGTTATTTCCCAGTTATTCCCGATGATGAGTACTCGAACGAGCAACTTTCCCGCTCTGTATTCCCTCGATGCACACGCGCGCGTTCACACACAGCCGCGAGATAATAAAAACGACCGGTCGAATAAAGTTTTTATCGGCTTGTTAATTTTCGTGGCGGCCGCGGCAACGAAGCGCACGCGATTCGCTTTTGAAACTATTCCTACTATCCCGCTTATCATTGTTCCTTTCGCACCGGTATCCCCCCACGAGGGACTAATGTTATTTATTCCGAAGAGCGTGAAAAAAAAAAAAAAAAAAAAGGTTGGCACACAAACGCCACTGTTCTCACAAATACGAGCACCCATACGCCCCCTACATCGATACACGGTGTACTACTACACGCCATGGACTAGCCGGACTAGTATCGGTGGGCGGACGAGTAAAATCTGAAACACGAATCGAACGTGCAGGTGTCCGTAAATAAACTCGTTGCATCGAGTTTGTTGCGGCGAACCGTTGGAACGTGAAGAGTGGTTACGCTTTCGCGGCTTGCTCGTCCGCTACAAAGCCTCGGACCCGGAATTTTTATTTCGCCAAACTGTTTAGCCCGATCCCAACGACTCGGCTCGGAGAATATCGTTTACATAATTATCACGGGCCACCACTCCATCTCGTGTGACTCGAGCGAACTACATACAATCGCCCGTACGGGATAACGAAAGTAGGAAAGGTTATTTTAAATTACGACAACTTATGTACATGCTCGATCCATTAAAGGTTATGGGTTTCTATTCAATATTAAAGCGACAGCTTTCGCGGGGATGGAAGAAAGCAAAGAATAGACAAGGATTGTTGGAGATGGAAACGAAGGAAACGGTTAACGGATTGCGACTGAAATATAAGCAATCGTGGGAAAATGCCTTTATCTGGCGAGAAGGGAAAGTATATAGGAAAAGGTAGGCGATCATAGGAAGTTGTGAGTGGTAACTCGAAACTTTTCGCGGACTTAGAGTTGAGCTCTAAGGCATTCTTAGTTCGTATATATTTGGCTGCTATACATGTGAGTTGAGTTGGCCTTCTGGCATTGGACCAATGACATGTTGTTCGATTCATTTTATAAAGGAAAACAGGCCAGATAGTTT